TCAGTATTATATAAATAATCAAGAATACGGTCCAATTCTAACCTCCATTTGCTCACTCTGCACTCATGTTTAAACCTCGATTTTTTTGAAAACAAACAATTTACTAAGTTGATTTTAGGTTTAGGATTAGAACGACCATAGAGGTAACTATTAGACCAGAAGGTCCCGAAGAAACGTGCTCAACTTTGACTAGGGGAATTTACGTATTCTCGGCAACTTAAGCAGCGACCATTTTTCTATAGCCTTTTTCTCTACGGAACGCACACATATACAGTATTGGTTTGTTTACAATCTTTTGCTGCCAGCTGCTCTAACAATTTCAGTCGAAATAATTGTCAAAAACTGTTTTGAAACGCTTTTACAAAGCTCCAATATTCTCTAGTGAGAGCGACTATTGTGGGCAACCTCTTTTTATTCGGCAGCCTTTCTATTTGAGCTGCGTGTTAAACAGCTGTGCTTTCATCGGCAGCTCGAAATCAGCAGCGTTTTGTAGTGCGTGTGTTTCATTTCAAGAAAACCCTGCTAGATTGCTTTTTCTTAGTGGTAAAAATATAATCAAATTGAAGCTGAAAGCCTTAAGAATAGTTTGAATGCATTCAGCAAAGTGTTTTCTTAAGAAAAACCAGTGAAATTAGCGTTTCAATTTGGGTTGCCGACAACCCAACAAACAATTGAGAGCTCTTATAAAACACCTGAGTTGATCAAACGTTGAATAATAGCTTCCAGAGTTGAACAAGAATGTAGTTGTATTGCCATTTGATTAAAAGTTTTAAAAGCTGTTGGAGCACTCTTAAATGATTGTTTACGTTCGGTTTAACTATATGCTTTATAAGATCTACGATAACTTTTATAGCACCTTAGTTAAACTGATTCACAAGAGCTATACAGCACGTGGAATAAACGCATCAAAACAAACAATTGGGAGCTCTTATAAAACACCTGAGTTGATCAAACGTTGAATAATAGCTTCCAGAGTTGTACAAGAATGTAGTTGTATTGCCATTTGGTTAAAAGCTTCAAACACTGCTTGGAGCACTCTTAAATGATTGTTTACGTTCGACCAACCACCAACCACAATTTTGTTGCTAAAAATAGCACAAGTGATAGGCACGTTTATATGACCATAAGGCAATGATTATTCGACATATAAGGCAATGATATACTTCTCTCATATGATCAAAATATGTATTCAAGAATAGAGCAGATGGAAACAGAAGCGGCTGGCAATCCGGGATCAGGAGTTCGAATCTTGCTTCGAGAAACCCTCGGTGGAGTAGAGGTAAATTATATATAGGTGTTATTAATAAATGCAAACATTAATTTAAGACATATATCATATAATCAACGATAACATTTCTAGATAAATTCTCTCAATTAATGATTAGAGAGATTAATTGAAAGAATATCAATCAAAGATTAAACAGATGCTTGTTACTACTTCCTCCATGATCACAGAATGTGAATTATGGCATAATTACATATTTTTTCAATGTGCACAAATAAATTAAATTAATAAAAACTGTACAAGCAATTATTTTGGCGTACCACGACAATTGTTAAACTAATTTTAATCTGTGAATATTGTGAGTACTTACACAACGGTTATTAAGGAGTCATTAAAAAGTGCTATAAACGCTTTTCACCGCTTGCTGTATAGTGATTATTTAGGAGTCATAAAAGAGTGTAACAAACGCCTCTCAGGTTCAATCTCTACTAAATTTCAAAGCAGCTGTCAGGAAGTGTCTACAAACGTTGTATAAGAGCTTTCACCAAAACAATAAAGCTTGAGTTTAAATATGTATCTATAAACGTTGTATAAAAGTTGCTTCTATCCGGTTGTTAAGGAGTCATTGAAAAGTGCCATAAACGCTTTTCACCGCTTGCTGTACAATGATTATTTAGGAGTCATAAAAGAGTGCAACAAACGCCTCTCAGGTTTACTCTCTACTAAATTTCAAAGCAGCTGTCAAGAAGTGTCTACAATCGTTGCATAAGAGCTTTTACCAAAATAATAAAGCTTGAGTTTAAATATGTATCTATAAACGTTGTATAAAAGTTGCTTCTACTCCTATACCGCGTATACATATAATGCTGTAGTTGAACAGGTTCTCCAAACCAGTGTAAACAAGAGTTTTACAGAAGTTGTAATAAACAAATTGTACAGTTATTATTCAGCATGCAGTTGAATAAAATCACAATGGAAGCGTTTCTTCAACAAGAAATTGATTTTGGGTAAACGTTTTACTGAATACGTTAGACAACACCTTTGTGTTGCAGTTGTATAGGTTCTCCAAACCAGTGTAAACAAGGGTTTTATAAAAGTTGTGGTGAACACACTGTGCAATTATTATTCAACATGCAGCTGAACAAAATCAAAACGAAAGCGTTTCTTCAACTGGAAATTGTTACTTGGGACTAGTCTGTCATGCCGAAGCCGTCATTTCCCCTATATGTTTAGTATTACCATAGAGGTAACTCTAAGACTAGAAGGTCCCGAAATAACGTGCTCAACTTTTTGACTCAGCTCTGGTACTCTCTTCGGTCCCAAGCTAATCGATTCACCCCTCGAAACATAGGAAAAACCAATCACCCCTCATTTCATCTGTCAAACTTTCATAGCGAATCAAAACAAACATAATGTAGTACTAGAATTTCGACTAGAATGGGGTACGTTAATCGGTTTGCTTGGGACCAATAGGCTAGTCAAGTAGTGAGCCAATTTAAAATCGTTAGTTTCGTATAGAGTTCTCCAGATGCACAAAAGTGTGCGTGAGACCGCGCGCTACCTTTTTAAGTAGTTGTGATATCGCGATACCTTTTTGTTTCTTCTTCTTCTTTATTTTTATGTATGGATGTTGGATTTTAGTGTTCGTGAGATTGCGCTTGGAGATCTCTATTGATTGTTGGTATTACTTCTGCGTGAAGTCAACGATTTATATAGTTGAAGATGCTAATTTCGAATAACTGACTGAAGTGGTAATTTTTATACGATAGATGAGGAGGAGATGCCGTAATCTAAACGGAACTATCAATTCTATACTTTCGTGCTCAACTGTTTGGCTCAGCTCTGGTACCAACCGGTGGAAACTAACTATTTTAAATTGGCTCACTACTTGAATAGCCTATTGGTCCCAAGAACATCTATAAGCGTACCCCATTCTGTTCGAAATTCTAGTACTACACTATGTTTGTTTTGATTCGCTATGAAAGTTTGACAGATAAAATGAGGGGCTCATGGATTTTCCTATGTTTCGAGGGGTACATCGCGTAGCTTGGGATCGAAGATAGTACCAGAGCTGAGACGAAAAGTTGAGCACATTTCTTCGGGACCTTCTGGTCTTAGGTATATTCATCGATGTACTTGGGACCGATAGGCTAGTACAGTGTGAGCCAATCGTTAGTTTGATAACCGGTGCCTAAGAACTAAAGAATGCTCGTAAGAACGCAAGCCACCTTGAGAAGACATATTTGAGAATCGAGTTTTAGATGTTGAATTTGATGTTTACGAATTGAATTTAAGCCTTTAAACTAAATATATGTTTCTCTATTGAAATACAGCCGCCCAGAGCCCAAATAATCCATGCAGGGGCTTATTACGGATGTCATTTTACGGTGAAAACTTGTCACTTGTCGTCACGGTGCGAAGTGATTCCCATTTGATTTGTATGGCAATCACGGCTCTTATTCTAAGTATCACTTCATTATCTCCGTGTAGTGACACCCGTAATAAGGCCCGTAATCTTATTATTAGCACAGTCTGTATTTTTAGCTACAATTCACACTAGGGTGAAACACTGGAGCTAATGCCAAAACTGGCTCACCCACCTTATTGTAAAAGAAGATGAAAATTATCTATTAGAATCGCACACTGTACAACAAAGCCATTCCGCATCATTAATCGTACAAACAACCAATTGATATCGAAGGATGCTTACTGTCAAGTAACTGAAAAAGCTCGTTCAGCGTAAATGTCTGCGATAACCTGGATTTGATAGGATCCAAAGGAAGTGCATCGATCAGTGAGGCGTATAGCAGAGAGCAACCCTATGTCTGAAGCATGATTCGTTCTAGACCTCCGTCGCCCTACACCGGTTTCCAACGATCAAGTTGAAAAGATTAGAATCTAGCAAAGATAGCATTTCGATTTCCGCTTACGCGCTTCTTCTAAGCAGGTTTTGATGCGAGCTGTTCTCTTGGTTGTTCTGTGGTATAGCGCCGAGAGGAATACATACAAGTACCTACCAGTTCGTCGTGGTATGTGGTATCGAAAAGTGAAAGGAATATGTAGGATGAGTCACAGTATGGTTGGTTGCGTGAAATGATTCAGAAATTTTAAGCTGTAAAATTTAAACTTTCTCTCTGAAGATGAGTGCATTAGGGACTCAATGCTTTGCAAGTTCCTTTTTGATATGGTAATCGCTATGTGAGTGAATTCACTCACGTAGTGATTACGACATTTAAAAAAGTAAATAGCTCTCGGATTGGTAAGCAGCCAACGTGCGCTGTACGTTGATGCATCATAAAACATAAAACCAAGTTACTGACACACGGAGTCCAACTTAAGAAAATGTCCCCTATATGGTTGAGAACCTTCTCACACGCACATGCTAAATACTGAGATCTCATGAATGAATGGTGCACTCCGCTCTTTTCCAAATATGCTTGCCCGCCTGCTAAATTCAAATGTATAGAGGAAACGCTCTGCACATGTACCTAACCTACCTTTCCAATCTATCTGATGGTCTGCAAGCGCTTCTGGACTGCACAAAGCAAACCGGTTTACGAGCCGTTCCCACGAGAGCCACCCCAACCATGCCGAAGCCCAGAAGTCAGAAGCAGAGTAAGGTCCTTTCATACTTCAGTTCAGACAGAGTTGGTATAGCCTGGTATAGCAATAGCGTAGCGGCAGGCAGGTTGAACCACTTTATGAATCAGTTCGTATTCGGAATTCGATCGGCGCGGATCGTTGTGGACGTGGATTTTGATTGAGTTCGCTCAAAGCCGTTTTGTGTTGCGTTGCGGTGCTGGTGGTAGTGTTTTCTGCTGCAGCGAGAGTGGTGGAACACAAGAAATCCATTCGCGAGCGCTAATTGTTTTCCGCCATCCCGTTCACCTCAGCCTTGCGCGTGCACAACCTCTCGCGATTGGCTGGGTCGGTTATTATTGAAGCAGCTCGCAGTGATCTTTTATTTTTTGTACGGTGGTGTGCGGCTGCATTGTTGGCATTTGCAGTGCCAATCCCTCGAAAGTGGTGCAATACTTTTACTTTCAATATCGAGTGAAGAATTCTATCGAGAAGAATCGTTCCGGTGGTGGTCGACGAGCAGTGACCAGAAGTAGTTGCGTGTGCACGGGGCGTTATCAAATGTGTTGATCGATATCGGTTACAAGTCATCGAACATTGCGAGCTGCGCGGCATGAAAAATTCGACAATGAATCTGCGAAATTGGATTGTACTGGCCGTGTTGCTAGTGCTTTGTATCAACAATAATGGTCGAACCGTTGCAAGCGTAGGTGAGTTCAAAAGATTTGGAAGGAACCATGTACAACTTAAGCATTCCGTCAACAGACGGTGGTTGGCTGATCTACCGATGGTGGTGGATTCGCACAAGCGACGGAAACTTTCCAAAATTAAAATAACCGGCTGTTCAATAAATGAGTTGGATTGTGTGCCAGAAACCGGTCGGTAGGTGGCAGTTTCATAAAATATTCTTTGAACAACTCTTGCAGTCTCAGGTGCACCTAGGTGTGGCTCCCACAGGTTATACAAGATTTACACATATGTATGGAAGCATACATCAAGTACGTCACGCTAAATTTAGGGAATATTAATACCCACCCTCCCATCACGTTTTTCCTGTACCTAATCCATTGCTTGTCATACATTTGTAAACCCACCATTTTCCTTAGAATGTGACGTGCGTTCGGAAAAACGACAAGTGTGTTTGATTTTTGAAAAAAAAAAATTTTTTTATTCCCTTGATTTGTTTTCCGTCGATCTTGTTTTCCGTGCTGAGCACCAATGCTACCGACGCCAGGGAGGCAGCTCCCACACCCGGACCCTACCTATCGACCCATCAACTCATGAACCGGGGACCAACGGCTGTACTTCCCTTCCGAAGGAAGGCGTGATCAGAAATTTTATGCCTCATCAGAACATCCTGGCGGCGCCGACTGGGATTGAAGCCAGGCCTGCTTGGGTTAGAGGCAATCACGCTTACCACTACACCACCGGTGCCGCTAATTTTGAGAAGAATACATTTCACTTAATAATTCGTTAATCTTCATCGTAGAATTTCAAACCAAATTCAACCTTGTTTCAAATTTACTGTTTGTTTCACGGTTGAATGAGTTCACATCAAGAAGACTGGCAAATTTCCCAGAATCCAAGCGACAGATACAATAGCGCTGTGCTTGGGTGAAGGTGGAAGCAACGCATAGAAAAATGAGCAAACCTTTCTTCTGAGGATGTAATTTTTGCTATCAAATTCGTTCGAAGCATTTACCTTTGAGCGACAGAAGACGCGATTTTACCTGTCTCATAGCGTTTGTATGAGAAAATGCAAGAGTTGCCAGTCTTATTGATTTGTTGTCTTCGCTTAGATTCAATTGGGCGACTGTAGGTTACAGTTTTGACGACTTACTTTATTTTTACCCTTCTTACAAAGAAGGGTATAGATATCACTTGAAAAACCGACTATCGATCCGAGGCCCGGAGGGCCGAGTGTCATATACCATTCGACTAAGCTCGACGAGATCGGAACATGTCTGTGTGTGTGTGTATGTGTGTATGTGTGTGTGTATGTAACGAAATGAATGCGCTCACGTTTCTCAGCAACCGCTCAACCGATTTGGACAAACTCGACGCCAAATGATAGGTCTTGGGGTCTCATTGAACACTATCGAACGGTTTTGGAATCGGTGAACCGGTTCCGGAGATATAACCGGAATAAGATCCGGTGAATACGGGCCTTCACGCTGGATTTAACGGAAAACGTATCAAAACCATCATGCGACACATCAAATTACTACAGAATTCAAAAATAAGATCAATGCAAGTCGTGTTAAGTGTTCCAGACCACATTGGACACACTTGGACATGTTCCGGGTACCCCGGGGAAGTTGCTTGAATATGAATTGAATTAAAACCCATTGATGTGATTTTAAAATGCGATGATAAGGTGATTGGTAGCCTCACCAAATAGACTACACCCGGATATATTCCGGGTATCCCCAGACAGTGGCGTAGCGTCACTGGATGACACGGGGGTGGGGGGCTTGGTCACTGATAATGACAATAAAATAAATAAACTTGAATAAGTAAGAAGGGTCTGATCACACCATAGGTGGATAAATTCGGGTTTTTGTATTGGGACTCAACGCCATGAGCCCCTGGGTCTGCCTCTCCTGCGATGTCCTGCCAGATTTCAATCCATCGCTTGCTTGCAGATTTTGTTTCCATCCCTTCGTAGTATGTGGCTGATTTTTTACTTTAACTATTTATGTTTGTATTACTTCTGCGTTAAGTTAACGATTTTACATAGTTGAAGATGCCAAGTTTCAAATAACAGACTTAAAGTGGTCATTTTATACGATAGATGAGGAGATGAAAGTATAGAGTTGATAGATCCGTTAGAGTACGGCAGTGTGAAAATTGTATATAGAGAGTAGAAAGCGAGCAAAGACAACTTTGAGGAAGGTACGAATGGCCTTTATAGTCTCTCTTTACCAAACTTCCCAGTTGGAGAGGGATGGTGAGGGGTCAATAATTAAATCGAGCTCTCACGCATGATCTACGTGGTCACAATCAGTCACGGGAGACGATAGATTGCGGCTCAATTCGGCTTCTTCTGGTTGTATAGCCGACTCCATAGCATCGAGTAGTCCAAATCCAACTGCTCCTCTCATTCTCATTGCAGTCAGCCTATTGGAAACCCCTTGGAGAATGTTCAGAGCAAGTGAAACGTCTCTTTCTAGTTCTGCTGTTTCCTTTGTCCACCCATCGTTCGCTACGTTTGCCAAGACCATTCCACGGTGCGTGGACTGCAATCTTGCGGGCTCCAAGACAGCTGCCCATCTGAAGCACTTTGCCAGCTTTAGTGGAGGGGAACTAGTGTGCTGGTGCAGAAATAATGAATTTCACCCATTGGAACCAGGAACTATAGTGCCCTTCGATGTCTTGATGAGTAGAGCGTTATTCCACAGCAAGTGCTAAATCATCTCGTGTGGATTGGGCTCCTGAACGGTTCGGATTTTGAGGGGAAATCAACGTACGTTGTGGTTTTTGATGCTGCGCATTTGTCTCCACGTTCAATGAGTATACGTAGATGTAAATTTGAATTAAAGGTCTATTGATAGAAGTACCCAGGGGTGATACTGGATACCGAATAGGGTTAACTACCCCATTTCCGGCCTATTAAGCACAAACCGTACTTAGTCTTTCTTAATCTAGCGCAGTTTAGCACCAAACGGAATGTTATTATTACTGATGGCTTCCAAATTTATTTACCTTTCCGTACGTACCGTAAGATTTGATAAAAAGAAACCAATCGTTGAGATATTGTCAAAAGTCTAACACTGCTTCTTGACGCTAAACTCGGCCTAACGCATTGAAACGCCATTGAAACGCCAATGAATTCACTTCGGTCTATCGGATGAAGATAAAAATTGATTCGATCGGAGCGCTTCTTTTGTTTTTGGGAATAATGGGTGCAAACTTTCATATCACGCGTTCTCATTGGCTTCGTTCCTAGCTTATTAACTAAAGTATCGTACCAATCGCATAATTGACTTGTTAACTCTGAAATCATGGATTTATTTGAAGTTTTCTGCTCGATAGGCCCAAAATGGGCGATTAGGTCGAAATAGTTTTCTACCCTACAACTTCTTCTTTCATCGGGACGATTGAGTAGAACCAGTAGTGGAATGGGTCTGGGCTTCTTTTTTTTTAAATTCTGGATAGCTTTCAGAAAGGCTTTGCACAATCTAGTAGAGAACGGATCTTATTGGCAAAACCGTTATTTATGAGATCCACCACCCTGGCCTGCATGATCTTTGTTAATCGATTACAATTGGTCTTCAAGTTAGGCAGACCAGAACGCAGGTACTGCCTACGAATGGTGTGGTCAATATAGCCGTAGCCGATGGATGTGTCGACACAGTGTTGATATTGAGCCCACTTGACACGATGGTAGTTGCGCCGGGAAGCTTCGAATGGGTTCCCCGAGGTACCAACTTGGGCCACCACTGGATAGTGGTTTGAGCTGAGTTCTTGGTTAACCACAGGTTGCAGAAATGTTTCCCCAAGCTTGATGTTTGGCGTTCAGGACGCCAGCGATGATGAAATTTTCCCGCCGTTGTGTTAGCTTGACAATATCTCGTCGAAGGTCTGCTGCCGACTCGTCCCTGGTGTTGACTTGTTTGGGGCAGTAAGCCGCAACGATGGTGATGGGCCGATAGGAGTAGAAACTTCCACCCCTACGACTTCGATTATCTTCAGCTGGAAGTTGGTTTGATCCAGCCTCACAACCCAGAAATCGACAAGGTAGACGTTATTCTCGGCCTTCCGGTGCGTTTCGGTAATGATGGCGATATCGATGTTTCGTTCGTTGAGGTATTCAACGAAGTCGATGCTCTTGCTCTTGAGCGAGCAAGTGTTCCAATTGGCAATTTTGATGGCTTCACGGCCCATACTTATTGATGAGGGATACGGCAGCATGAAGCTGTTCTGTTCGGGTCCTGCAGGTTCGCTGGATCATGATGAGTTCTGTCACGAGTGTAACAAGTTCCGCCGTTGTAAGCAGAGTGTCCTGCGTTCTCGATCGTTGCTGCCACGATGCCCCGGAGGTGGAGAGGTGCTTCGGGATGCCGAGGTTGCCGACTGACGTTTTCCGGAGTGTCAGGCACCCCAGCTGTTGGCGGGACCGATGCAGCAGCAGTAAAACGGTTGTTGAGTTGAAGTGGTGGAAGCACCGGAATTTGGTGCCGTTGAGGGATGGCAGAAAAGTTCTGCGGCACCCTTCTGTGGCCAGGTTGATTCTTGGTAGAGGCTTTTTTTGCGAATATTAATTAATTCCGCTCACTTCGGGCATGTATTGCTGGTTGCCCGATGTGCTACACCACATTTGGGATCTGCGTCCTCCATTAGGTCGCATGCATCAGGTGCGTGCTGATTGCCACAATTGCTGCAGCGGTAGGCCATGTGGCAGTTTCTCGTTCCATGCCGGAACAGCATGCAGTTCGCGCATTGGGTGATGTCACAGTGGACTGGTTTGTATCGTTCCCAAATCACCACGTTGTGGAAAAGGGCCCGAGTGCTTTGAAGGTCCTTCAAACATGTTGAATTCCTTTCCAGGTGGATTATTTATCATGAAGGTTTTGATTGGCTTGAGTCCATAATGCTTTAATTCGACAGTGAGCATGCATAAGGGCCTATACGCGATGATCGATTCTCTTCATCGATTTTCTCTTTTGTTAATAACTCGCTAGATTTAACGTTTCTCGGTACGTTTGCT